TTATTGAAATTGCTGTTAACGGTTTCTAGGGATTTTTCCCAAGTTTGAATAGGTTTCAGTATCATCTAAGAGATTATTCATTTTTTCTTGTAATCATTTTCTTTCAGAATTACTATTGCATTTATTTTGTCTGCTTTAGTAAGGCGCAAATTTTATTGTTATTAAGTGTATCATAAGACTTAAAGAATCTTTGAGGGCAATTGGGAATGTTTGGTTTTAACATAGAGCTATGTACAATTCCTTTACTAAAAATTAATTTCATCAGAGGATAAATCAGAAAATTTTTCAAAGTTACAAAAGGCTTTTGCAATTTCAACATTATTAAGTTTTTTTGAAGTTGCAAAACTTAGGCCAAAACCTAGAGCAGCAGTTGTATGTTTGTCTAAAATTTCATCTGATAAGTTAATTACAAAATTGTTATTAGCATGTTTTGTCCAATCACTATTTTCAATTAAAATGTCTAATTTTCTTTGTAGTTTGCTCTTGAGTTCATTACAAATTCTTCTGAGTTTATTATAGCAATGATCCAACATACTGGGGCAACCAGCCTTATTCAACTAAAAATATGTTGGTTCTCCCTTACCATGAAAACTTGGTTGATATGCCTTCTATTCTTAAGACTTTTAATATTAAAGTTGTATTCAAAAATCTTGATACAGTAAAAAAACTTTTGATAAAGAATTCCCCCCAAAATGCTGATGGATGTGTCTATAAGATTCCTTGTAAAATTTGCGATAAAGTTTATTACGGTCAAACTGGTAAAAATCTCGAACTAAGATTAAAACAACATAAATATAGCATTAGAACTGGACAAGATTCCCAAAGCTCTAAATTTTTTCATGTAAGAGATTTTAACCACCAATTGAAATTTTCAAAAAGTTGAGAAAGTAGTATCAAGCAAGTCCATGGTCGACAGGAATATAATTGAATCTTGTTTCATAAAAAGCAGTTTTTGAAAATAATTTGAATATTTCCTTTGGTTTATATAAATTAGATCCATTTATAATTAATAGAATTTGGGAAGAATTTAATAATACACTGGACAAATAATTTTTAAATTTTCTTGAGTAGAATAGCTTGGGGGTGGGTTGTGCAAAGGACCTATCCAAGTTGGCTCGCCGCACGCCACGTGTTTAACCGTTGTGGGATCTGATAGTGAGGTGCTGGCCGGACCCCTTATATAGCTTCCTTGGATGCTTCACTTTCATAGTTCCTTGATAATGTGAGTAGTCACGAAAGCGCTTGGAATTTCTCTATTTTTTCAGAGTGGTTGTTTTGCATATTTTGAAATCACCTGTTTACTGTGATCTTATTGCATATATATATATATATATATATATATATATATATATATATATTATATATATATATATATATATATATATATATATATTATATATAATCACACAACACACATAGCGGCTGTGTCCTTTTTTTTTAGATTTGGAAATGTGCACCCTAAGAATGGTCATTGTGTTGGGCTAGTCATGGAGTATGGAGTATGTGTTGTTGGTTTAGTCAGTGACTGTGGTATTGAGCTAGTTATGGACTGTGGTGTTGGTCTAGTTATTGACTGCGATGCTGGCTGGTCATTGACTGTAATATTGGGCTATTCATTGACAGTGGAGAAGGGCTAGTCATTGACTGCACCTGACTAACCTATCAGTCAAAAAAAAAAAAAGAAATCAGTGCGACTAGTGATTGTTCTAAGTCGTAAGAAAAACCACACATATGAGACTATGTACTAGCTATTTGTGTAATGGGGTAGCAAGTTGATCTGGTAATGGGGGTAATAATTAACTGCAGTAATGTAACCATTGATTGTGGTCATTAACCACGGTAATAGGGTTGTCATTGACTAGGGTAATGGGGTAGTCATTGATTGCGGTAATGAAGAATTCATTACCCGCAGTAATGGGTGGGTAGTAATTGACTGCGGTAATGAGGTAATCATTGGTTGTGACAGTGGGGTAATTATTGACTGCAGTAACGGGATAGTCATTGGCTGTGGTAATGGGATAGTCATTAATAACTGCCTGATGGATTATGTTTCTGTGCGTAAATTACTTATTTTTATTCGCATTTTGTTTAAAGTGGTTACATAGCAGAATATTTCCAAGGCATAAATCCAAAATATTTGTTCGTCACTAGTATAGGCAAATTAATTTTGAGAAAACTGTTAAATCTATTGTGCTTCCATAGTACTTCCAAAAATGTCAGCTATAGATCAATAAGTATGTTTAACACATGAGTACTGAGTGCAATCATGTGTTGCAGGAGTTGGGCACACCTGTGTAACTTAATGTGAGAGTAATGTGTTTCAGGTGTTGGTGTGGTACACACGAGAGGACGGAGAGGTGGTAGCAGACACCAGAGAGTTGGAGGTAGGAAGTGTCTGCCTAACAAGGTGGACCTCACCTGGTCTGTTGCTAAAGCACAACCAGGAGCTGCAGCCTCACTGACTCTGTCATCAGAGCCACACTCCGTGTGTAGCCTGGGTGAGTGATGTAGCCTGGGTGAGTGATGTAGCCTGGGGGAGTGATGTAGCCTGGGTGAGTGATGTAGCCTGGGTGAGTGATATAGCCTGGGTGAGTGACGTATCCTGGGTGAGTGATATAGCCTGGGTGAGTGACGTATCCTGGGTGAGTGATATAGCCTAGGCGTGAGTGACGTTATCTGGGTGGAGTGATGTAGCCTGGGTGAGTGATGTAGCCTGGTGAGTGACGTATCCTGGGTGAGTGATATAGCTGGGTGAGTGACGTATCTGGGTGAGTGATGTAGCCTGGGTGAGGATGTAGCCTGAAGTGCCGTGAGTGATGTAGCCTGGGTGAGTGATGTAGCCTGGGGAGTGATTGTAGCCTGGGAAAGTGATGTAGTCCTGGGTGAGTGATGAGGCTAGGTGAGTGATGCAGCCAGGTGAGTTGATGTGCCTGATGAGTGATGTAGCCTGGGTGAGTTGATGTAGCCTGTGAGTGATGCAGCCTGGGTGAGAGATGTAGCCCTGCGTGAGTAATTTAGCCTGGTGAGATGATGTAGCCTGGGAGAGTGATGTTTGACTGGGGGTGATGTGCGTGGAGTGAGTGATGTGCACTGGGTGTAGTGATGTAGCCTGGTGTGAGTGATGTTAGACCTGGGTGAGTGATGTAGCCTGGGTGTGTGATGTGCACGTGGGTGAGTGATGTAGCCCTGGGTGAATTGATTGTAGCCAGGGTGAGTGATGGATAGCATGCTGGTGGGCCACAGTGATGTTCCGTAGCCTGTGTGAGTGATGTAGCCTGGGTGAGTGATGTAGACTGAGTGGTGATGTGCACAAGTTGAGTGATGTAGCCTGGGTGAGTGATGTAGACTGGATTGAGTGATTGTAGCTGGGTGAGGGATGTAGCCTGGGTGGAGTATGTAGCAGGTGAGAGATGTAGCCTGGGTGTGTAAAGTAGCCAGGGTGAGTGTCGTAGCTGGATGGAGTGATGTAGCCTGCGTGATGATGATGTAGACGGTGTGAGTGACGTAGGCTGGGTGAGTGAATTTGTGCATGCAGGGTGATGAAGCTGGTGAGTGATGTAGCCTGGGTGAGGGATGTAGCTGGGTGAGTGATGAGCCTGGGAGAGTGATATAGCCGAGTGAGTGATGTATGCAGTGTGAATCATTGTAGCCTGGGTGAGGGATGTATAGATAGCTGGGGCGTGTGATGTAGCCTGGGTGGAGGGATGTAGGCTGGATGAGTGATGTAGCCTGGGTGAGTGGATGTTACCCTGGGTGAGTGATGTTGCCTGGGTGAGTGATGTAGCCTGGGTGAGTGATGTACCCTGGGTGAGTGATGTAGCCTGGGTGAGTGATGTAGCCTGGGTGAGTGATGTTAGCGTGAGTGAGTGATGTAGCCTGGGTGAGTGATATAGCGAGGGGGGGGGAGGGGGGCGGAGACTTGGTTGTGTGCGATGTACCCTGGATGAGTGATGCAGACAGGGTGAGTGAAGTAGCCTGAGTAGTGATGACTTTAGCCCAGGGTGAGTAATGTAGCCTGGGCGAGTTATGGTGCTGGAGGAGTAATGTAGCCAGGGTAAGTGATGTAGCTAGGGTGAGTGATGTAACCTGGGTGAGTGATGTAGCCTGGGTGAATGATGTAGCCAGGGTGAGTGATGTAGCCAGGGTGAGTGACGTAGTCAGGAGGTGAGTGATGTTTAGCCTGGGTGAGTGATGTAGCCAGGGTGACTGATGAAGACAGGGTGAGTGATGTAGCCTGGGTGAGTGTTGTAGCCTGGGTGAGTGATGTAGCCAAGGGGATGTGATGTGACAGGAGTGAGTGATGTAGCTGGGTGAGTGATTGCAGCCTGGTAGTTAAGTGATGTAGCCTGGTGTGAGTGTGATGTAGCCTGGTGAGGATGTAGCCAGGTGAGTGATTATAGCCTGGGAGAGTGATGAATCCTTGGAGAGTAATGTAGGCTGGGTGAGTGATGTTGCCTGAGCGAGTGATGTAGCCTGGGTGAGTGATGTAGCCAGGGTGAGTGATGTAGCCTGGGTGAGTGATGAAGACAGGGTGAGTGATATAGCCTGGGTGAGTGATGTAGCCTGGGGGAGTGATGTAGCCAGGGAGAGTGATGTAGACAGGGTGAGTGATGTAGCCTGGGTGAGTGATGTAGACTGGGGGAGCAATGTAGCCAGGGAGAGTGATGTAGACAGGGTGAGTGATGTAGCCTGGGTGAGTGATGCAGCCTGGGTGAGTGATGTAGCCTGGGTGAGTGATGTAGCCTGGGTGAGTGATGAGCCAGGCGTGAGTGATATAGCAATGGGAGAAGTCGATGAATCCTGGGAGATATTGTAGGCTGGTGAGTGATGTTGCCTGAGCGAGTGATGAGCCTGGTGTGAGTGATGTAGCAGAGAGTGTGATGTAGCCTGCGTGAGTGATGTAGCCTTGGTGAGTAATGTTGCCTGGGTAAGTGATGTAGCCTGGGTGAGTGATGTAGACTGGATGAGTGATGTAGCCTGGGTGAGTGATGTACACTGGGTGAGTGTTGTAGCCTGGGTGAGTGATGTAGCCTGGGTGAGTGATGTACCCTGGGTGAGTGATGTAGCCTGGGTGAGTGATGTAGCCTGGGTGAGTGACGTAGCCTGAGTGAGTGATGTAGCCTGGGTGAGTGATGTAGCCTGGGTGGGTGATGTACCCTGTGTGAGTGATGCAGCCAGGGTGAGTGAAGTAGCCTGAGTGACTTAGCCAGGGTAAGTAATGTAGCCTGGGCGAGTAATGTAGCCTGGGGGAGTGATGTAGCCAGGGTAAGTGATGTAGCTAGGGTGAGTGATGTAACCTGGGTGAGTGATGTAGCCTGGGTGAGTGATGTAGCCAGGGTGAGTGATGAAGACAGGGTGAGTGATGTAGCCTGGGTGAGTGATGCAGCCTTGGGTTTGAGTGATGTAGCCAGAGTGAGTGATGTAGACAGGGTGAGTGATGTAGCTTGTGTGAGTGATGCAGCCTGTGTGAGTGATGCAGCCTGGGTGAGTGATGTAGCCTGGGTGAGTGATGTAGCCTGGGTGAGTGATGTAGCCAGGGTGAATGATATAGCTGGAGAGTGATGAATCTGGGAGAGATAATGTATGCTTGGTGAGTGTGTTGCCTGAGCGAGGTGATGTAGCCTGGGTGAGTGATGTGTAGCCAAGGTGAGTGGACGTAGCCTGGCGTGAGTGATGAAGACAGGGTGAGACGTGATTGTAGCTTAGGGTGTGGATGTAGCTGGTGAGTGATGTAGCAGGGAGGTAGTGATGTATAGACAGAGTGAGTGATGTATAGCCTGGGTGGTGATGAAGAAGGTCGTGAGTGATGTAGCCTGGGTGAGTGATGTAGACTGGTGTGAGTGATGTAGCAGGGAGAGTTGATATAGACAGGGTGAGTGATGTAGCCTGGGTGTGTGATGCGCCTGGGTGAGTGATGTAGCCTGGGTGGTGGATGTAGCCTGGGTGAGTGGTTTTGGTTAGACGGAGTGAGTGTATAGCCTGAGGAGAGTGATGAATCCTGGGAGAGTAATGTAGGCTGGGTGAGTGATGTTGCCTGAGCGAGTGATGTAGCCTGGGTGAGTGATGTAGCCAGGGTGAGTGATGTAGCCTGGGCGAGTGATGTACCTAAGGAGTGATTTAGACTGGGTAAGTGATGTAGCCTGCGTGAGTGATGTAGCCTTGGTGAGTAATGTTGCCTGGGTAAGTGATGTAGCCTGGGTGAGTGATGTAGCATCAGTGAGAGATGTAGCCTAGGTGAGTGATTTAGCCTGAGTGAGTGATGTAGCAGGGTGAGTGATGTTAGAAAATATAAAAAACCTGGGTGAGTGATGTAGCCTGGGGTGTGTGATGTAGAACCTGGGTGAGTGATGTGACTGGGGGAAGTGATGAATCCTGGGTGAGTGTGTAGCCTGGGTGAATGTGTAGCCTGGGTGAGTGATGAAGCCTGAGTGAGTGGTGAAGCCTGAGTGAGTGATGCAGCCTGGGTGAGTGATGTAGCCTGAGTGAGTGATGTAGCCTGGTTGAGTGATGTAGCCTTAGTGAGTGATGTAGAATGGGTTAGTGATGAAGACTGAGTGAGTGATGGTAGCCTGGGTGAGTGATTGTATCTTGGGAGAGTGATATAGCCTGGCCGAGTTATGTAGCCTGGGTGAGTGATGTAGCCAGAGTGAGTGGTGCAGCCTGAGTGAGTGATGTAGCCTGGGTGATTGATGTAGCCTGGGTGAGTGGATGTTGCTGGCCGAGTTATTGTAGCTGTGGTGAGTGAGTGATTGTAGCCAGAGTGAGCAATGTAGCCTGGTTGAGTTATGTAGTCTGAGTAAATGATGTAGCCTGAGTATGTGACGTAGACCGAGTGAGTGATGTAACCTGGATGAGTGATGTAGCCTGGGTGAGTGATGTGCCCTGGGTGAGTGATGTACCCTGGGTGAGTGATGTAGCCTGGGTGAGTGATGTAGCATGAGTGAGTGATGTAGAATGGGTGAGTGATGCAGCCTGGGTGGTTGATGTTGCCTGGGTGAGTGATGTGCCTCGGTGAGTGATGTAGACTGGATGTGAGTGATGTAACCTGGGTGAGTGATTTTCGTGGTGTGAGTGATGTAGCCTGGGTAAGTGTAGTAGCCTGAGTGGAATTGTAAGCGTGTGTGCGTGATGTAACCGGGTGAGTGATGTAACTGGGTGAGTGATGTAACCTGGGTGAGGATGTAGCCTGATGAGTGATATGTAGCCTGGAGTGAGTGGATGTAACCTGGGTGAGTGATGTACCCTGGGTGAGTGATGTAGGCCTGAGTGAGTGATGTAGCCTGGGGTGAGTGATGTAGCAGAGTGAGTGATGAAGCCTGTGTGAGTGAATGTGCCTGGGTGAGGATGTAGGCCTGGGTGAAGTGATGCAGCCTTGGTGAGTGATGTATCGTTCAGTGAGAGATGTAGCCAAGGAGAGTGATGTAGCCGGGTGGAGTGAATGTAGCCAGGGTGGAATGATGTGCCTGGGTGAGTAATGTAACTGGCGTGAGTGAGTAGCAT